AATACATCTCTAGATTTAGAAATTAATTATGTATCGATAAAACTTATACTCAATTAATAAAATCATGAGAAAAGCCTTACTTTAACAATTAAAAAAGATTATAATTAAGAATTATTGGATATGATATATAGAGGATATCTAATAAATTTATATATAAAAAATAATATGTTTTTTTCCTTCTATAGATATTAAAATAGAAATATATATTTGAAAACTTAAAAGTATTATAAACTATATTATTTATTTATAGATTTATTTAAAATTTTATTTTAATTGAATTATTATTTGTTAAAATATAATAACAAATAAAAGTTTGATTATTTTTTTGATACTTGATATTAATTACTAAAAATAAAATAATTATAATTTTTTGATAAAAAATTTTTTAAATAAAATTGTTTTTAAGTTTTTTGTAATACAGTAAAATATAAAAATCTATTAAAACTATATATACAGTTTTGTTACAAAGTTTATTTTTTTAAATAAACAAATAATTTTTTAAGTTATTAATAAAAAAATATATATTATTATTTAAACAATTTGATATATGCATGTAAATAAAAAATTAAAGTAAAAGAATGTTAAGAAAATTTACAAAAAATAATTGTTATAGACTTTTTTTATATAATTTAAAATAAAAACAAGATTTTTAAACTTGTTTTTTTTTAATTATAACCTTTATTCAAATATATTAGACTATTTTTTCAATTTTTTAAAAATCTTTTAGTAAAAAATAAAAAAAATATAAATATTAAAAAACAAAAAATATTTATTTTTTTAAAAGTTATTTGAAAAATATTTTTATTGAGAAAAAATTATAATATTTAATTATGCAAATAAAATATATCAAATTTTTAAAATTTACAAAGAAACAAATATAAAAGTATATAAATTATTATAAAAATAATAATATATTTTATATAATATTTGATTTAAATTAATTTTGATTATTTAATAGCTTGACTTATTTATTATATTATATTATAAGCTTAATAAATTGTTAAATTTATAATTTATAATTTATTAATAATTGAATTAATACAAACTATTGCTATAAATAATAAATAATAATAATATAACAATAATTAAATAAAAAATAAATCAAAAATAAGTTATCAAAAATAAATAAATTAAATTAAATTAAATTAATGGGATACAAATAATTGATAAAAAATAAGATCAAATCATTTTATTTATTATTATACTTAAAATTTTCCTGTAATCAAATCTTTATCATTTATTAAAATTATATATATACAGTATACAGTATATATTTTAAAATTTGATTACGTAAAAATTATACAGTATATTTTTATTGTTAATATAATAACAACAATAACAGCAACAACAATAATAATAGTTTTTAATGTTTCAACGAATTAATAATAAATGCAATTAAAAATTAAAAATTCGATTAACAGGTGATCACGATTAGAATCGGTTGAAATTAATTTAATTGGTTAATTAATTAGGCATTTGAAAATTTTACTATTTTAATAAGAATTATTATATATCACAATAATCACGGCAATTACCGTAAATGTGTAATTTATTAAAAAACAAAAGCATATAATACAAGGTTTATCATTATTTATTAAAAATATTTTATTGAAAATTAAAAAAAATTAATAAATTTTCTATTTAAAAACATCGTAATTATATAATTAAAAGCATTTAATTATAAATGATAAAGTCATCTCTCGTTTTTATATTCTAAGGCAGTAACGATTAGATATTATGTAATTGTGACTCACGTTTTGGATAAGGAAACAACTAAGTGTGAAAATCCAAAGCATTAGGAAATAACCATAACGAGGTATCAATGCCGTGGCAGGAATGGATTAGCCATAAATGGGCCACTTTCATTATAATACGTCATACTATTGCGCGACGCGCGATAAAAGTAGACACGAACATGTGATTTATCGTCCGATACTGCGATGCGACATATGTGACACCAAGAAATTTCGTGATGTTTCCTCCTTCTTTCACACAATTGTCCTAATCTATGAAAATGGGGAATTTTCTTCCTTCCTACTTCCCTATTGTTAACAAGAAGCAGAATGCACGCCAATTTGATGATTTAAACATGACTTCATACAGTATAAAGTACACTACTGTATTTACGGGTATGTACGTATATATAAGTAATTTTATTTTACACGATGCCCCGTGAAACAACGATTCTACGCAGTGTATGGTTTGCATCGTAGCACAGAAAATCTGCACCGTGAAGTTTATTTAGTTGCACAGTTTTTCTGGTTGATAAGCCGATAACGTGGCGTTGCTCGCAGTACGGTATTATGATAATCCAGAATCGGAAAATCTATGATAATTTGTTAACGAAAAATTCCGATTAGTTTAAGTGCGTAAATAATTATCCATAATAATCAGTAAGTTAGCTTTACCGCTCATATATAAATATCTGATTTAACTTCCTTTCAACCTCTGTCTCTACGATTATCCAAACCGAACATTCGATATTGAAAATATCTGCAATTTTTCTAAATCATTTCTCAAATAAAACACTCGAAGCATAATATCATTATCCATCGAGATAATAAATAGCTTATTCTAAATTTTACACATGAAAATGGAAATCAAACCATCATATAAAGAACTTATTCACACCATGGAGTTCGAACCCTACAAGCCTAAATACATTGATTGGAGTGACGACGAGGAAACGGATGAAGAAGAGGAATTTAAATACGAGATCGATTCAGATGCATTTAGATGTTCGAGTGGAATTGTGGTTAGCGAAAACGATCTTGATGTAGTTATTAAAATCGATTTAGAGGTAATTTTTTTCAGTAGTGAATCATTGATGAAATTTGTCTCGTCAAAATTTAAGTTCCTCTTAACTAACGTTATCTTTTGATAGGACTTTAATATCGATTATCAAGTGTGTAACAATATTTTGGCAATATTTGGTACCAAAAAACCATCAACAAAGAACATTTTACTTCAAAACTTTGAGGACGTTGTTGACCCGTCAGCAACGACCAATGCACTATTTGTACCAGAGACACCAACCACCATAGGTGGAAGGCGCGAGTACAAATCCTTTTGTCATCCAGTTTCGTTACCGGAAAATGTTGACACCGAAAAAATTTATTCCGAAATAATTGATGGAATTATGTACATTAAAATACCAAAAATTTTTGACGATCTAAATTTAAAAGATAATTTATTGGTACGTTTCGTTTGTTTCTTTTCGGATCGTGTTTATTGGTTTTATCGTTCTTATAAATTAACATTTTATTTGATTTGATTCTTACAGGAGGTTGGAAAATGTGCACTGTGTCAGTGGCGAAATTGTCTTAACAAGTATTTTCCCGGTATCTCAGAATTATGAGGATCAAAAGTTGTTGAATTTATCGAAAAGTATTGTTATATTTTGGATAAGACTTAATTTATTGAAACACCGTCATCAAGGATAAACCTTGATAGTTTTCCACTATAGACGCCTGTTTTTTCTTTTTTACCGAAAATCGGGCTATTGTACATATCAGGTTTCTATAAGGATCCTTATAAAAAATTGATCCAAAAAAATCATATGATTGGAACAAATGACGCTCAAAACGAATCTTAAAAAATTTTTGACTGAATGTCAAAGAGGTGTTTGTAGCAAGAAAAACTAACGAAAGAAGGAAAGATGCTGCAATAAATATATGCATCTCATGTTATGGAGAATAACTTGTTCTTATCAAGTATTGATAGGAATTTTATGAAGATGGCATTTTTAGATAATGTTGTGTAATCCTTATGAACGTTTCCCCGGATGATCGAAACTATATGTAGCTTATTTGAGCATTAAATCTATAGTGCTATCAATCAACTGTATAAACAATTGTCACACTGTACTTTTATGTTTCACATATCAATAAAATAATAAATGAAATTTTGTATTTTGATATATGAATGTTTTTTGAAATTTCAATTGAAATATAGAAAATAATTAACTGAATTACTTTTATTTCATATAAATGTTCTAAACAATTAAGATAAAACCGATTATTTAAATTAAAATATTAGGCAATTCCAAAATCAACAAATTATTTTTTAAAATTAATGTTATATTACAATGATACGATTTGTTATAATAAAAAGAATACATATTTTATTATAATATTTTTTGTTAAATATATATATATTTTCAAAATATTTATAAATTGATTATTTTTGATATTTTTAAATTCAAAAAAAAAATTTTTTTTTCAATTATATACAATTTATACAATATACAGTTCAATAAATTTTTAAAATAGAAAAAAACCAAAATATTAAAATTTTTAATATTTTATTAATTTTTTACATTATAATATTTAATGTGTAAGAACATTATAATGTTAGGATTAATAAAGAAAAACTTTATTAAATATGAAAGAAACCAGACAACTCTATTATTTTTCAAAAGAAAAAGAACTTTCTTATATAGAGAATTTTCTATATAAATAAATAAAATAATAATATATAAAAAACTCTTTTGCAAATCTTTTTTTGTTAAAATTTTTTTTTATAAAAATAGGCAAAATTCAAAGAAAAAAACAACAAAAGCTTTTAGGAGCTTCACTTCCAAGAACAAATCCTTAAACTTGTTTTATATTCTTTTTAATATTATTATTATAAACTCAACTAACTATTTATTTTCTATAATTTATAAGAAAATCAACTTAAGCAATATTTAAATTACTATATCAATACAAAATGTTTTCATTTTTTCTTTAACTAACTTCTTCAAATTTTGGATTGTTTTCTTACTAAACTCAAAAAACAGCAATAACTTTTTATTAATAAATATAATATTTATTAATTTCAAATAAGTAACAATTAATCTTAACTCTTCTTTATACTCATATATACAAGCTTTTCTAATTATCAATAATTAAAAAAGCAATATTCAAAATAACATTGTCAAGTATAAAAAAAGATTATTGCAAAGAAAATTTTAAACATTAATTTCAATTACATTCTTTATCTTTTCTGAAATCAAATTAATATAATAAATATTGAAAATAAATTTAATCTCAAGAAAATATATGATACTTTATCTTATCCATTTTCCAATATACCAGTTTAAAACAAAAAATTAAAAACACAAGTCCCATTTTTTTTAAAATCTTGATAAAAAAAATATAATTTTTCAAATATTAAAAAAAACTCCAAACAATTTACTTTCATCTAATAATTAACAAATTACAAATATCATTAATTTGATTAAGGTCAATAGTAACATACATATATCTTATATCTCTTGCAGTTTTAAATAACATAAATATAATCAGTATATTAGATAATATAACATTAAACATTAATAATCTATATAATTCAAATGATATAATACAAATAAATAATCCTTATAATACAGTTATTATAAATAACAATTATAACAAATCAAGAAATACAATCAGATTTATTAGCCTATACTCTAATAATAACATATATATAATATTAGCTAGGAATTACAGTTTTTATCTGAACTTGAATGATTTGCAAATCAAATATAAATTGGATTGAATCAAATTTTAAAATTTTTAAACCAAGCAAATTAGATATAGCTTAGTTTATATAAATTATTAAATAACCTTTTAATTTTATTTAAATAGAACTAACTAGAAAATTAAAATGAAAAACTTGTTTTTTTTAATTAATATATAAAAGGTTATATTAAAAAAAATTTAATATTTGTTTGCTCTACTTTTTTAATAATTTTTTAACAAATTTAAAAAGTTTTTTTTTTAAATTTTTAGTAAGTTTTATATATCAAAAAAAAATTTTAAATTTTTTTTTAATATTATAGCTTTATATTTAATTGCTTTGATTAATACAGCTTGTTTTCCAACAATTTAAATATTTTTTAAAAATGAAACTTGAAAATTTATCTGATAATATACAATACTTGTATAAAGAAAGTAGTAGTTTAATAAACCATAATGATAATGACAATAACAATATTAATATAAGAAATTTATAAGAAACTACTTTAATTACTTCAATAATTTCTAAAAACAAATTATAGGAACATTTTATAAAAAGTTCAAATTTTAAAAACAATAAAAAGACTATTTGTAAATATTGTAGAACAGTATATACTGTATATAGTGGAAGTAATATTTTTAATCTTATAAAACATTTTAAAAAAACTCATTCAACAAAATTAAATCTAGTAATTAATAATTCCAATATAGTAAATTTTTTTAAAACAAAAGTAATTTTTGAAATATTTCAAAATTATAAAAAATATTATTAAATTTTATTTATATCTAGTGAATATACTGTTATAATATAGGTTATTGCCAAATGTTATGATATAATTATTAAAATATAATTTAGTAATACAAAAGAGTTCAAGAGGAGAATGTAAGATTTGGCATATAATCCTTTATCAAAAGACTTTATGTTCAAGAATTAGGGCTTTTTAAAAATCCCCTTTGATAGATAAATCTTTTATTAAATTTTATAAATAATTAGAATATCATTCAACTAGCTTTAAACACAAATAGTAAAGTATACTGTTTTTCTTGTGCCAATTACAATATATTGCTGCTTAGTAACTCAATAACAATTAGCACTGTGAGAACTGTCCTCCTTATACGATCATATATGTACAAGTTTGCCAAAATATTTATGTCAATTAATTTATAAAAATATAAGAGAATTTATTAACAAAGATTTATTAAATTAATAATAA